AGACCAACTTCGACAAGGTAGGCCGAGCGATATCGGAACATCCAAGAGCAGCACGCTAACTCATCACAGTGGGTCGACGAGGACGAGCAAGACGAGGCACCCGAGGACGAGTCCATGAACCAGATGAACCCAATGGCCGGCGGTGGCGGTGGCGACGGTGGCTTCGGCGGCATCGACTTCAGCAAGCTCGGCGCTGGCGGCGGCGGTATGCCCGGAATGGAGGGCATGGACATGGCCAGCATGATGCAGGGTATGGGCGGTGCCGGTGGAATGGGAGGCATGCCCGGTATGGGCGGCATGGGCGGAGACGACAGCGACGACGATGACGACGACATGCCCGAACTCGAGAACGACGACGAGAACAAGGCCAGCCAGGACAAGACCCCCGAGGCGGCCGCATCAGGCGACAAGCCCAAGATTGAGGAGGTGGCGTAGTTGCTCCATCTTCTTGCGACAAGCGTATGACTGCACGAGATTGATTGGGTGGGCATGGCGCGCATGACTGGTAACCGGCGTTTCTGCCTCAATCTCTTCTTGGGGCGAGAGGGGTTGGAGTCTGATACCTTTGACTGAAAGATGGAGAAGAGAGGTTGCATCTATAGGTCGCTTGCGTATTTCCGAGTCCTCATCATAGCGTGCTGGTGCGCAGTGCGGGTTAATGATCACATCATGGAGTATATGACAAAAGAATACGAATCATGTTTTCATGACTGAATCTAGGTTGCAAGATGTAGGGGCATTCGATGCAAGACTTTATTATGTTTTGGAATCTTTCTCATATGTAAAGTACACGTACCGGCCCACCTACGAAAACGAACTGTACGGAGGTGAACCTAAGTCTGTCAGCAAAAGCCTGTATATCTCTCCCGGCGTTGCTGTAATACACGTCAGCTACGCAAATTGTCAGCCTGACAGACCGGTGAAGGCCTTTGACAGCCATACGCCCTCACAGTCAGACTTCTGAATACGTTTCTTTGGCACACTGTAGCCTGAAATATTCAACATGATCGTGCCACAACTAAACAGCCCCTTGGACCGTAAGGTAGGACAGATATAATCTGCTCCTGCAGTCGCCAGCTTCATGATCACACACAATCAACACCAAGTCCTGGTTCTGACAGCATCCAGCCAAGAGTAACACTTCCAACAACCGCGTCTTTACGTCAGTACATCAAGCAAGATGATACTCAAACTAGCCTACATACTCACCTTTCTATACCACTTCAACCACGCCGAAATGCTAGAAAACCCATCGCCAGATCTCGATATCGTTACCTTCGACCCCGTTCCAACAACGCCATTTCTCATGCGTAAGCAGCAAGAATCCTCAAACCATCCTAAAGTCTAATCACATGCCAGCTCCACAAGACATCCACACCTGCCAGCGTAACCACACCCGGAACAGACACCCCCAAGCAAAGCCAACTAACACAAATCGCAGGACTGTTTGGTCAACAACACCAAGAAGACGACCAGCCCCCGCCGGAAGTATACCAGCGCCACCGCGTTCGTGTCAAACTCCAGGGACCGCTGGAATGGCGGGCAGATATGGCGGGGCATTTTTACCGGCAGGTTTATGATGATTTTGGTATGCGTCTTTTCTATCTTGATGATATGCGGCTGGAGCTAACGATAGGGTGTTAGCCCATGAATGGTATATACAGTGGTGGAGCTATGATCAGGGGCGAGCATATCGCGTTTTGACAGATACCGATGGTGAGTTGCTTTCCTCCCCGCAAAGCCCTCCCCATTAATGTATTGACATAGATGGTTAGGTCGTAAGTACACTGCATGGATCTAGCCCGTCATCCGGTATGTTCTACGAGTCTGAGACCACGCTCTCAACGCACTCAACCTACTAAATCCCAACATGATCTACTTCCCCCCCTGATTAAAATTCATACTATACCCCCCACTCCCCTCATCCTTCGTAAACTGAAAATTCTCCGTACTCAATCCAAACGGCTTGAGTATCCCATTGCCCAGCTGTTTCAGCTTACCCATCATATCCGCCATCTCTGTATTCTTCGCTTCATCCAGCTCACTTGGTAGCTTCCGCAATGCGGCTTGTACGGCCTTTTGATCGAGGCTCGAGAGCTGGTGGGGCGGTTTGGAAAGGGCTTGGTAGTCTTCTAGGGAGCCTTGGAGCGAGGCCCAGCCGCCGACTTCATGTCGAGCTTTGGCGCGGCGGAGGAGGGCTTTTGTGCGGAGCTTGTGGACGTCGTTTATGGTGTGGTTTGTCCGCGTGAGAGCGTCGAGGTAGAGTTCGGTTGTGTCGTCGATTTCGGCGATTGCGCCGCCGCCCGTTGTTGTTGCGTTCGCGCCATCGTTTTCTGGCTCTTTTTGCGCTGGTGGGTCTATCCTATCTAATGCTTCGAGGGCTTGTGTGGCGGATTCTACGGCTTCTTTCCACTCTGAGAGCTTGAGGTGGCAGGCTGCGATGTTGGAGCGGAGGACGGCGATGTCGTATTCGAGGTATGAGGGGCAGATTGCTAGGGCTTTTTCGTAGCCTTGGATCGCGCCGTTGTATTCGCCGGATGTGAAGGTTTTGTTCGCTGAAGCTTTCTCCGCGTTGGATTCGTCGAGGAGCTTTTTCTCTTCGTCTGGAGGGAAGATTTCTGGGGTTGAGGGCTCGATTGCAGATGCTTCCGCTTTTGTCGCTGTTTCCTCCTGTGATGCCATGATAGCTTGATACCAAAGCAGATCTGACGCGTAAAGTGTGTATGGGTTATGCGGGTGTGTTTGGAGAAAAGGTCGATCTGTTTTCGAAGTGACGTCTGTGGTCGGGGGTCCGACTAGCGTGCCTCGGCCACGTGGGGTAAACATTCACCTAACCCCAACTTTCGACAAGCCTCAATTGAACCTGCATAACACCTTGAAACAGCCAAATCGTCGACTAGAACCTCTCTAGATACACCAAAAATGAGCTCTACGTAGGCGACACCCTCGACATTGAACTCATCCATACTAACCGCCCTCAGTACTACCCCACCACCCCGCATCCGAGCAGCGCTCTTCGACATGGACGGTAAGCCACCCATTACTTCCCTCTCACCACCACTAACAACCACCTCAGGCCTCCTCATAGACTCCGAGGACCTCTACAGCATAGTAACCAACACGATCCTCGAACGCTACGGCCGCCCACCCCTCCCCTGGTCCATAAAAGCACAACTACAAGGCCGGCCCGGCCCCCAAGCCGGCAAAATCTTCCACGACTGGGCGCAACTCCCCATCTCCCACGAGCAATTCCTCGTCGAGCAAAAAGAACTCCAGAAAGATATCTTCAGCACCACGAAGCCACTACCAGGTGTTATGGACCTACTTGCAGGGTTGAAGTCCAGGGGCGTACATATGGCGCTCGCAACAAGCAGTAACAAAAACAACTTTGAGATCAAGAGCAAGCATTTGGGGGATTTGTTTGCACATTTCAAGAAGGAACATCAAGTCCTAGGCGACGACCCAAGAATACCTTCTGGCCGCGGTAAACCCGCACCAGATATCTACCTCCTCGCCCTCTCCACGCTCAACAAGACCCTCGAAGCAGAAGGCCAACCACCCATCCAGCCAGAAGAATGTCTTGTTTTTGAAGACAGCGTGCCGGGCGTTGAGTCGGGCAGGAGAGCGGGTATGCAGGTTGTGTGGTGTCCGCATCCGGAGTTGCTGGTGGAGTATAAGGGGAGGGAGAAGGAGGTGCTGGCGGGGTTGACGGGCGAACACAAGGAGGATGAGGAGACGCAGTTGCAGAAGAGTGAGGTTGAGGTCAAGGAGGGGAAGAGGAAGGTTGGTATGCCGGGGGAGATTGATGATGGGTGGGGGAGGTTGCATGGGAGTTTGGAGGAGTTTCCGTATGATAGTTATGGGATGGGTGGGAAGGCGTGAGGTATAGAGTTGGGATTTTGGTTTGCTAAATGCTGGGTCTCTAGCTTATGAGAAATGCGGACTCCAGCGGATGATGGGCTATACCCATGCACTGTAATCACGACCTATTGATCCACGTTATCATATTATCTAGGCTTCTGGTTTAACAGGAGGGCTACTGACCATACTCGTCTTTCAAGGTACGGTATACGCGGCCCTCATTGTAGTCCCACCACACTGTGTACCACTGCTGAGCTAGTTTCGTTACATTAGTTACCGACATGTTCCGGTGAGGTAGAAAACGCATACCGTTGTTGTCATAGAGTTGTTGGTAGTAGTGACCCGCTTGATCCCATTGCCAATTTGAGAATTGCTGCTGGTGATGCAACTGCGGTGGTTGGTAGACTTGCTGCTGTTGATTCTGTTGCGGTGTTTGATATCCTTGCTGTGGGTGAAATATCTGCGGGTATACTTGTGCCTGTGGTACGTGATTCCCGTGCGATACTATATTTACTTGCTGCTGTCGTCCCATCAACTCCGCGACCTGTGTCGACTGACTCTGCTGAGCCTTCTTCTTGTCGATATCCCGCTGAGTATTATAATTTGCCTGTTCCTCTACTCAAATTAGATTGTGAATCAAAAGCTCGCGAAGACTTACTCCAGGTCCAGTCCGTAGTGGACTCCACGTTACCTACGCCGGTCCGTTGAGGTTTCTCGCATAAGTCCACGCTCGCGACGGCCCAATCTTTGGGGATTTCCATTGATGTCGGTTGCGCAGAGGAGTCAATAGGTCGACTTGGTCTCTTTTCTCAACGTGAGGTTCTTGATTACGAAGATGATTTATACGCGTAGTTCTTGGGTAGGCCCTCTGTTGCAAGAATTGAGCACAAATGCTCCACAGCCTCCAGGAAAGGCTCAAGTAAAGTAACAATACTCAAATGGCACGAAACAGCAGAAGTCAGCCTAAGAGGGCGTCAGGCTGAAGGCGGGTATCACTAGTGTGCCAAGCTGGCTGACTGCGCGGCTGACTGCCCAGGTGCAAGCAGCAAGGCTGAGTCGCGTCACTGCAATCCAGGAAGGCGGGGTCAGTCAGCTCCGTAGCTCTCGATGGCTCGATTTCTTTCGGTTGAACTTCTACAATGACCGCGATGTTACTCGATCAGATCCAAGATGGCTACCCCGGACTTGCAAAGTTCATAGGACAGGATCTGGACCAAGGACTTGGAATCTTTAAGAAATTCGCCGAGCTGAATGCTCGTAGTCTGCTGTATATGCAGGCTGAGCTTCTCTGTCTCGAACAAGAGCTGGATGTTATTACTTACGTCGACGAACATGGCACGGATGCCAGCACAAAGAACTTTGCCAGAAGTGTATGGGAAATGAAGAAGCCACCGAACAAACCTCAATGGGAAAAAGTCCTAGAGATTAGGAGGAAGTTGAAAGACTACAGTATGAATCTACCGCGCTCTCCATTGCTAGGCTGAGTTCTGACAACTCTCACGACGACTGTCTGCTTCAACAAGCCAACATCGCAAAACTAGACCGCGCCAACAAGAACGATTTGAAATGGCTCCAGGTCTGGTTGCAGCACCGGGAAGGAGGGAAATCCTTCCTCGAAGGCTGCGAATATCGAGCCTATGACGAGATGGAGAATCCAGATTTGATCTCCATCTCTAGCAGACCTTCCAACGATAGATTCACGCGATGGCTAGAAATGAGTCTGATACCTCATCTTCCTACTCGCCTACGGAAAAGGGTTCTAGTAGGTACCAATCCCACTCACATCTCCACAGCGCTCACAGCCTCAAACCAGGAGCCGATGGCGGGATCAGAAGAGACAGGTATAGGCCGCGTCAAGCTAGAAGTCCTCCACCGGTTCGCTCGAGCACTGAATGTGGTACTTTCTGCAATCATCCCGTCGACCGCCATCGTCGCACTGTATATGATCAACAATCTTCCATACAGAATCGCGGCTGTTGCAGCTTTCTCGGGAGTATTCGCATCTGTTCTGGCTATCTTCACGACAGCCCGTCCGGTGGAGATATTTGCAGCCACCGCAGCGTGAGTCTTCCGTTGTTGGATGTAGACGGTTTTGCTGATAAACTTAGGTTCACCTCCGTACAAGTCGTTTTCGTGGGCGGAACTACTGGCGAAGGCGGGCAGTGCCAGTGCAGCCCGTAATATTCGATACGCGACAAAAGATTCCAGCTCTTTATGTTCCAGCCATCCAGTCATTTGCACACAATCGCTTCAAAAGGGAGAATTTGCTTTTTCTCCTTCATGTAACTAAACATGGGTGCACAATGGATTTTCTAGAAGGGTGCGCGACAGGCCTGTCAAGACATCGCTATCCTTGCAGGGCAGCATTAGCTCCCGTTGTCTAACCACTAGTCAGGTCCCCTTTCTCGATGTCGCTGCACCATGCTCGTCGCGTCGAAGAAGACATTATGGACATATAGGACGCGTGTGGCAGGTGGGAAATATCCAGGGTTGGAGTTGGAATGTCCGGCAGCTTCTTCGGCGGGGTATCAGGATCTGTCGTCCAGTCGTTACCAGCTGCCAATGACGCATCCAGACATGACGTGCCGTTATACGATTGGCTGCGAGGGTTAGTCCCGGCAATGAGGCACCCATGTCATGTCGAAATGTCGTGTTATTAGCAGTGACGGAGACGCGTCGTAGCACCAGGCGAAGGGGTGATGAGACTGCAGCTGCATGTAGGTTAAAGACACATTGAAGTTCAAGGGAATTTGAGAGCGAACGAGTTCTTGGAGGGTGGGATATTTGATGCATGGCGTTGCTGCAGCTCTTTCATGTGGCCTCGGCGGAAAGGCCCCTGACGCCAACTGGCATCAGGCGCTAGCAGCGTGCATGGCTGACATTAGCCTCGCCTGCTCTCCTGTCCGTGTCCACATTTTGTCGACGACACTGGCACGCCTCCGACTGCCTCTCTTCCTGCTTCATCCGCTGTTGCTGCTGCCTCGGGATGTTCGCTCGTCCTGTCGTCTCCAGAATCGTGCATCTATCCCACCCCATGTCGCTCTTTTAGCCACCAAGCCCACCCTTTCCTTGATATATTACCTTGTAATCCTACTGCAGACCCGGCGCGAAACTCTCTACGCGCGTTTCTTTGCCCGAGCACTGACTGCAGCGTCGTCGGAACATTTGTCGCCTGTTTGACGCGCGCAGCATCCGAGACGGAAAAACAAGAGTTGCAGCTCGTCGAGTTGTGCTGTAGCGGGAAACCCTTGGATGCACGCTCGACGGTCCACCTCGTCCTCGCAGCCGCCGCCCTCATCGCCTCCATTTGCTCCCGGGCACTTTGGTGAAGCTTCGACTCCGCCCGAGGCGCGCGAAGCAGTCTCTCCCACCTGGACGGCCCCCTCGCCGGCTCGCACCCTCGCCAACTCGAGCCCAGAGCTCCCTACGCTCCCGTCCTTCTCCATACTGGGCAACAACCCGCGCACCCCGTCCAACGCTGCGAGACACGACCGAACCGACACTTCTTACTACACGGCCAGCTGGGGCAGTCCGTACAGACACCCGCCGCCCGTCTTTAATCCGTCGCGTCAGGTCTCGACAAACTTCGGCAGCGACGACTTTGAAGAGGAAAACTCCGGACTCACATTTGGCCTCGGACATCTGCTCCCATCCCGGCTAGATCTGCAGGAAGAGTCGCCGAACCAGTTCAATCTCGAGCATCTTATCCCGCGTCTAGAACGGAACGCCTCGCCGAACCAGTTCACGCTCGAACATCTAATCCGCTCTCGACTGCCAAATCTAGTGACTCCCACCAAAGAACCGCGAGCGTCCGGTACTACTCCCCGCGCGTCCGACACGAACCCGACTTCGCAAGAGTGGGTTGAGCGATTCTTGGAAGAGCGTTGGAACCGCGAGACAAACGACTGGCGGAGTAACAGCAGCGATACAGAGGGATCAGGTGGAGAACCGGATATACCACTTGCGCCTCCGCCGAAAAGAGGACACAAGCAGAGGAACAACAACAAGACTCTGAACCAGCAGGACTTTTGGCGCCACTTTAGTAAGGACCAGAAGGAAGCACTCGGCAAGATGATGGCCTCAAAGTACGCGGATCCTGAGCTGGTGACAGCCAGACAAAGCTCCGCATCAGGTCCCAGCACGAACGGACACAGTGCCCAGGCTGAGAAGACGCCGGTACCGACTCCTTCAAAAACAGCTAAGCCGGCAGATGAAACTCCCAGCAAGCAGTCGAACAAGGACGCCTCCAAAGTAAACCAGGAGTTGTCGAATAAGCCACTTCCCGACACCCCAAGCAAGTCGTTCTTGGCTCCTCCAGGTGCAGCACCTGCGCAACCTCGGATGCGAAAGAAGGTCATTGTCAAGGGCAAGGGCTGCATCATCTCGATACCGCGAGACATTCCCAGGGGCAACCCAGGGTTCCCTCCGAAGCCGATGACTGCAGAGGCTGTTAACAACAAGCTCCGACAGCTCGAGCAGCAGGGCTACGACACTCGTGGCTTCAGTACTGGAGGCTTAGAGACACATAACCGTGCCATCTGGCCTGCTGAGGAGGATGTCAAGGCAGAACGCGCCAACTCCAACAAGCAGTACAAGGTCCGCGTCTCGAAGGAATCAGAATGGAAGGACTACGAGAATTCTCTGCTTGAAGCTAAACTGGCTGCACTTGGTGTCAGCATCGGTGGCGAAGAAGATATCCCTCTTCCCATGTCGCGAACAGCGTCATCACAGCAACATCCAGGGCAAGGATTCACTCCGCCGATCCCGACCTCCTCAGCTGGCAGTCTTCGCATGGCCAGGCAAGGTAGCATCGCCGGCTTTCCGTTCGGACCTTCGCCTGGACATATGTCCCGACAATCAATCGCGTCTCCAGCTGCTTTTGGAAACCAGCGTCCCAGCATGCACATGCACCGTCATTCGACTTTTGGATCGCCTGCCAACTTTGCTCAGCATGGTTACTCACCTTCAGGCACGTGGTCGCCTGCTGGGTACTTTAACTCCCAAGATGGGCGCAGTGGGTCTCCTGCTCTTGCTTTGAGCAGACCTGACCTTTCCGGAATGATCTCGCCACACTCTCCATTTGGCATGAGACCCGGTCAGCAGTTTCCCATTACGCCGACGCAGAGGGATGACTTCCAACTGCAGATGCAACTGCAACAGCAGCAGCTACAGAACCAGCTTCTACAGCAGCAGCAACAACAAGTCCTTGGCTTGCGTCCGTCCTCCACACTGGCCGAAGTACCTGAGGATGAAGATGAGGAGGATGAGGTTCCGGCTATGAAGCATGCCACTCAACCTGCACCAGAGATTGCTGTACCGCGTCCTCGCAGTCATCGCCATAATCTTAGTGAGAACCTTGAGCGCGAGGCGGCGAACGAAGAGTATCACTTGGAAGAAGCTATCGACAAGCAGTTTGCAGAAGGAGGTGACTTCAGTACGGAGCCAGAGACTAACGTATCCTACAAGCCTTCCAATGCTGTGGCTAACCCTACGTGGGAGGACTCGCGAACGATCCTGCACCAACCTCAGCCGCACAGCAAGTCGCATTCACTCACCAAGTCTCAGAAGCCCGTCTCCTTCTCGTTCCCTGCCCAACAGAACCCTCGCTCCGACAGCGACGGTGCGAAGACCAACATCTCAGAGAACACAAACCCCAGCTTGGAGGATGGAGAGGTTCGCAACCCTACACAGAGCTCTGCGCAGCACTCCCAAGCACCATCCCAGGTCAGCAACTCATGGAAGGACAACAAGTTTGCATTCAGCAAGCCTGCATCGGCGATGCACAGCAAGCACGCTTCGCGTTCCTCCATCTCGAAGCTCAATGTTGAAGCTAAGGAGTTCAAGTTCAACCCTGCAGCGTCTTTCCAGCCAGGATCCTTCTCCTCGGGCTTTAGCTTTGCACCCGCAGTTAAGCCACCTACAGCTGCTGCTCCTGCTGCTGTCCCAGCCAACAACAAGCCCAGCATTGATGCATTGGCCAACTTCAACGTGTCGGCTCCTGCCTTTAAGCCGGATGCACCCGTGTTCAAGCCTGATGCTCCAGCCTTCAAGCCTGTGGCTGAAGCTCCTGTGTTCAAGCCTGCGGCAGACAGCTCTCCATTCCCGTCCGGTGGCTTCAACTTCTCCAGCCCGCCAGCCTTCAAGCCAGATGCGCCCGCGTTCAACCCTGGCGTGTCTACCTTCAACCCTAACAAGCCGGCTCCTGCTCCAACAAGCTTTTCCTCGAAGATCTTCGGAGATGTCAACCTATCTCAAAGCGACATCATCAAGCCCGCCACACGCTCGAAGGCCGTGCCTATCATCCGTCCGGACAACACGCGCTCGCAGACTCCCGAGACTGAAGGCCGTGAGGACCACGAGGATGAGTCTGGCCGACCCAAGCAAGCCGACGGCCGCGAAAAGCGAGCTCGCCGTGACCGCGCTGATGGTGACGATGTCCCCAAGTTTGCACTCCAGCCCGTGCTTGCATCGCAGCCTTTGGCAGAAGTCAGACAGCCCAACGCTAGCAAGCAAGAGCCTCAAGTCGAAAAGGAGGCCGTCGCAGAAGACAAGGAGAACCTGTCGCCCGTACGTGAGCAGGTCAAGGCCAAGTCGAAGAGCCCCGAGCCTCTGTCGCAGCCAACGGAAGAAGTCATCATGGAGCCTATCTCGCCTGCACCAGAGAGCGATCTAGGTGCAGACGACGATACACCTCACGCGAGCGATGTGCCTACGCCGACTACCGAGGAGCCCGAGCCACTGGGCAACAAGCACTCTCACAAGAGCACGCTTTCTGCCAACGCCAAGCCCTTCGAGTTCCGACCGCAGTTCAACAGTGCTGGCTACGACTTCGGCTTCCACGTTACGAAGCCGTCTCAGGTTGAAGATCCCGAGAAGTCTCAAGTGTCTCCACCGAGATACGCAAGCAGAAGCCCAGCAACTACGTACAGGCCTAGCGACGACGGCTCGTTCAAGACTGCTATGGAATCTGGCAGGCACAAAGGCTACCCTGAAAGCGAAAGTGCTGATTTCGACCAACTTGGTGATGCTTCCTTTAACGACATTGATGCTGTCATGAAGCATATGGATGGTGAGGGCTCGGACTTTGGCGTCGAGCGCGACGAAGCCTCTTGGGACCAATCTTCCCCCCAGAGAACGCCAAACGTGTTTGAGCGCAATGACCTGCAACCCAACTTCAAGATGCGCAGTGACGCCCCCAGCCCCAGCCCCCGTCGGGGATTCTTCCCGGGACGCCCGATGCAGGGATCTGCAACATCAGTGCAGGATCCGTTTGACGATGAGCGGGCTGCGCTCCCATACGACTCGCCTGTACGCCACATGAACAATGCTGACGCCGGACCCATGAGCGATTGGGACGAAGGTCTTCTTACTGAAGACGAGTCTAAGGTCCAGACACGCAGTGGCTTTTTCGACAAGCATGTTGATGACCTCATGGGCCGTCTCCTGCAGGACCGTCTTGGCCCGCTAGAGCAAAACCTGCAAGGCATTCAAGAGGCACTTGCAATGATGTCGCAACGTCCGGGACGCGGCCGCCGTAGCATGTCGACTAGCGCACGCCTGGACAGCGATGCCGACGACGAAGATGACGAAGCAGAGACCGACGTTGACTACCGTAACCGATCTCGTGGAAAGGACAGGAAGTTGGAGAAGATCCGATCTATCGTCCAGGACGCGCTTGAGATGCACCAATCACAGATCACGTCTATTCCGGTGCCCGTTCCCGAGCCAATGATCCCAGAGAAGATCCGGGAGATCGTCACCGATGCGCTTGCGCAACACCAGCCACCTGTACAACCTGTCGAACCTGTTCCTGCTGCTCAGATCCGCGACATTGTCCAGGATGCGATTGCTTCTACCACCATTGCATCCTGGACTGAGGCTCTCAAGCCTGACGACGTTCGTTCTATCCTTGCTGACATGCTCGCAACCCATCTTCCTAAGCCCGTGGAATCGGTCAAGCCTGACGACATCCGGTCCATCGTGTTGGAAGCATTCGAGACGCACGCTCCTCAGCCAATGCCACCCCCAGTGCCTGAGCAGATCTGGCCTGACGACTTGAAGGCAATCGTTACCGAGGCTCTTGCGTCACAACAAACGCCAGCTGTGGAGCAATTGCAAGCGGAGGCCATTCGCTCCATTATCGCTGAAGCACTCGCATCCCACCAGCCTTCAGCTCCTAGTGCGCCAACTGCCGAAAATGTACAGCCCGATATGATCCGTTCTATCGTTGCCGAGGCCTTGGCGAACCAGAAGCCTGCTGCCACTCTTGAGGCTCCCGTCGATATTCCCCAGCCACAGGTCGATATGTCCGAAATCTACCAGGTCATCGGTAGCCTCAAGGCTTCTATTGCGCAGACCACTAGCCACCATCTTCAGGCTGAGGAGGTTCGTGAGCTTGTTGAGGAAGCCCTGAAGCGCCACGGTGAAGAGGTTGCCGAGCGCGAGAACTCCAAGGCCGTTCAGGAGAGGGATGTTCGTATCGCGGACCTTGAGGAAATGCTCAAGGAAGCCACTCTTCGATTCAACGAGGAAGCTGAGGCCCGCCAAGCCCTCGAGGCTCGTGAAGCGGACTCTGCGCGCCTGCTCAAGGTCACCGAGGAAGAGCTCACGCTTCTGCAGCAGACTTCCCGTGATGACGAACACAAGATTGGCACATTGACAGAGGAGCGAGATGACCTCCGCCGCAGCCTCAACTCATACCAGGCGGATTCAGCCGACATGCGCGATAGACTCGCCACTCTCGATATTGAGAACGAGCAGCTCAAGCTTACAAACATCGCCCTGGAAAGCTCGGAGGAGGACCTGAAGAAGAGGCTCGATTCAGTCACCGCGGAGAACGAGGCACTCAACTTTACGCTCGAGGAACACCGTATGTCTGCTAACAAGTGGCGTGGTGACCTGCAGCACGCTCACGAGGAAGGAGAGCAGCTGCGCAAGGCTATCGGAGAGGCGCGCTTCCAGGCCGAGGAGGCAACCCGAGTACGCGAGTCGATGCGCACCAAACTCGAGAAGCTACAGCAAGATATGGTTGCCGCTTCACAGCAGATCGCATCTGAGCGTGCTCAATGGCAAAAGAACGAGGAGGCCTCCGCAACCAAGTACGAGGTCCTCAGCGCACGCATTGAAGCTGAAGGTCGCACACGAGAGCGTCTGGAGAGGGAGCTCGAGCGCTTGGAGACCCAGGAACGTGAGGGTATGAGACTCAGGATTCATCTCGAGCAAACCCAGAAGCACAACGCCAGACTTGAGGAGACAATTGAAGAGCTGAGGAGGGAATCTTTGGAGCACCAGAAGAACGCCCAGCGCTACGAGCGTGACATGCGCGAGGCTAGGGATGCTGCGCACGTTGAGATCCGCCGCACCCGCGTGCTTATGGAGGCCGATGTTGACGCAGCTAACAACCAAGTCAACATCGTTCGCCACGAGCTTGAGAGCGAGGTCGCTCGTGTCCGCGCTGAGCTGGACCAGGTTCGCCTGGATGCTGATACAGCCAAGGAGAAGCACGAACTGGATCTGGAAGCCGCTTCCGACCTCAAGAAACAAGCCGTACAGGAAGCGATCGAGAACAACAGACACAGCCTGCAGGAGCAGCAGCGCACTTTCGAACGCCAACTTGAGCACATGCAGCATGAACATGCTCGCGCTCTGGAATTCGCGCGTGAAGACAAGGATCGTGCTGATGCTTTCCACAACGACAAACTTGCGCTCGCCGACTCCAAGCTCGACCACTTCAAGGACAAGATCGCGTTGCTGGAAGAGAAACTTCAGGTCGCAAAGGAAGCCGCCAACGCCGCTGTTGCAGCAGCATCCAAGTCTCCTACGTCTACCTCTTCGTTTGCTCCTAGCGGCGCAGAGAAGATCTCGCCCCAAGCGCTGCGCGAATCTATTGGTGTTCTCCAGGAGCAGCTACAGGAGCGTGAAGGACGTATCGAAGCTCTCGAGCGCCAGCTTGAAGATGTTGACACTGAGGCCCCAGCCAAGTTGAAGGAACGCGACACTGAGATCAACTGGCTCCGTGAGCTACTTGGTGTACGTGTTGATGACCTGAACGACCTCATCAACTCCCTTGCTCAGCCAACCTTCGATCGCGAGACCGTTCGTGATGCCGCAATCCGCATCCGCACCAACTTGCAGATGGAGCAAAGTGAGAAAGAGCGACTCATCTCGGGCGGACAAAAGTCTCTCCCAACTCTGAGCTCGCTCTCCAACTTTGCTTCCCCCAAAGCAGTCCAGCTTGCTGCCGCCATCGGTAACTGGCGCAAGGGCCGTGGCGAGGCTACCTCCGCTCTCGCAGGCACCTCAACCACCACGCGGACCCAGACACCATCCCGTGCGCAGCCTCACTCCGCCCAGTCCTTCCTCTCTGGCCTCATGACACCACCAACCTCCAACGCGCGCCGTGGTTCGGAACTCTCATCCTCATCGCAGCGTCCCCAGCCCCTGCGCACAAACTCGAACAGTTCGCGCGCGTCAACCGAAGCCGGTTTCCCCGCCCTGGGCAAGCAGCCCCGCACACCACCTCTGATGCGCAAGCAAGCCTACGACCAAGACGCCGAAATCGAGCCTTTTAGCGAAAGCGGCTTCTACGACGATGAAAGCACTGTTGATGGCGAACTCACGCCACTAGCACTGAACTTTGGAAGGGAACTACAACAACGGTAGATTCTGCGACCATGACACACAAACAAACAAGATCGACGAAACTGCAAAACCAACAACCTTTTCCTTTGTTAAAGATGTTTTTCCTTTTGCGTTGCTTTGCCGCCGCTGCTCTATACGAGCGTTTTCTGCCGCTGCCTTATCATGGGTTCTGCGTCTGTTATCTACCTTAATGCTTGCTTCTACTGCTCGCGTTGCCTTTTCTTCTGTCTTTTACAGTACAGCACAGCGACTTAGGTTGGCTATTGGAATATATACCCCCGCAAGACCGTTTTTCTCGAAGTTATAGCTCAAATTGTATACAACACAACAAATTTCTCTTGGTTATATAGCTTTTCTTATGTATGTTTGGGGAATGAACGGGAGGGGATACTGGGCGGAGGAAAGGGAGGTTGCGCGATTTGGAATTTGGGGTTAGTTGGATATCAAATTGGGTAATATATACTGTTCCTTTTGAAATTGAGGCGTGTCTGAGTGGAACATCGAGTGTCTGTACAGGCTTAGATGGAGTAAGTTGATGTGTGTCATTTGTGCTGTGTCAGACTACTTCGTCCTATACTTGAAAAGGAGGTCTTCTATACGAAGTTGTCAAACTTTCCGAATCATAAACATCCTCTTCACAAACGGACTCCGTTGAAAGCTCTCCGCCTCAGCCACTGTGGGATCAACGCCCCCCTTCGCAGCCGCCGCAGCATTCTCTTCATCCTCGCCAATCTTCCACGTCCTCACCATCCACAAACAAACCGCAGCGCCGATGTACATCCACCCCGTGAAGAGGATGGCACCGGTGTAGCTCCCTCCGTTGAACGCGACGATCTCGAGGCCGATGGGTTCGGAGACTGTTATCACGCGTCAGCACACGTTCCCACATAAACGAAAGCAATCATAGAAAAAGAACGAACAGAAAAACCAGGCGAAAGACGGAGATAGACTTACAAGTAGTAGGCAACACAAGCACCAACCAAGTAATACTCAACGCACTCGGCAAATCCCTCAACCCCATAACCTCGGTCGTAACCGGCGCCGCCGTCGCCCAAAACGTGCCGGCCACACATCCACCCAGCAGACTAAAGAAAACCAGAACACCAAAGCTCTTCGCGAAGATCCAGATAAGCAGGCAGAAGACGCCGACGAGGAATGTCATGCTGCCAGCCATGTTCAACCTGCCTATGGAGTCGGAGAAGTAGCCTATGGGGGGCCGGCCGAGGGCTTGGCCCAGGTTGAAGACGGCGCCGATGATGCTGCCTTGGTTGGCGGTTAGCCCGATTGTGCGGGCGTAGCTATAGAGGTGGAAGATATGGAGTCAGTTGTATGTCTCACAGGTGTTTTGTACGGCAACAACATACCTGGGTAGACTGAAGAGGAGGACTATGTAGCCGAGCATGCTCAATACTCCGAATGCGAGGAGACCGACGAACTGTGGCTTTTTGAAGAGAGTGTAGTCGAAGCTGACCTATTCGGATGTCAGTATGAGGGCTGCGTTGGTAGTGATGGAGCTTTTTGAGATGGTGCTTGGGATATGTGCGTTGGAGGACACAAGCCACTTCGCCGCTGTATCCTCACTCGCATCCATCTCACCAACAACAAAAAAGAATGAAACAGCGAACATACCTGCCTACTCCCCACCTCCTTATTCCGATCCCTAATCACACACGCACAAACACTATTCACGACCCCCGCAACAACCGCCAGCGTGCGAAACGCCCACGGCAACCCGATATCCCTAATCATCGCCTGCGCCGCAAGACTATATATCAATCCCCCCAGCCCACTCCCCGCAGCACAACACCCATTCGCCAGACTACGGTGCGTGGTAAACCACTGCGCTGCTATCCCCACAGACCCCACGAACAGAAACCCCATGCCCCATCCAAAACACACGCCTTGGGACAGGAAAAGGTGCCATATGGACGACGCGAAGGACGCGCCGATGAAGGACACGGTTTCGAAGAATACGCCGATGAAGAGCGTGGTTCGGGTGCCGAAGCGCCGGGTTGTGTATGTGGCTACGGGTGAGACGATGAGGGCTTGGGAGATGGATAGCCCGCCGATGAAGGCGTATTGGAGCGGTGTGGCGCCTGGGAAAGTGGAGGTAGAGAGGTAGTGCGCGAGGAAGACGGCGTAGGCGGAGTTTAAGCCCCAGGTGTGGCCGTTTATCGTTGCGACGGCGGCGACGCAGATCCAGCCGTAGCCGCCGTTGGGGGGGACGTCGACTGGGTGGGTATCCGGGGGAGAGGTGGGTTTGTTTGATTTTGATGCTTGAGGTGGTTGATGAGCGGGCGAATTTTCTGGCATGGATTGTGCAGTGTTGGTGGTGTGGAGTGCGATGTCCTGCTGAGTGCTCGCATTGGTCATGTTTTTTTCCGATGTTGACATGTCATTTCTTACATGTCCATTGACTCCCTCCTCTTTCTCGCGTTGCGGTGCTTTCATCTTCATCACGCGCGTTTGCCAAATCCTCTTCGTCTTCGTTCGTCGTTTCTCTTCGCCCTCGCCTTCTCCCGGGAATACGGTATCACACAGCACGATCCCTCTCAATCGCACAATCTCGCTCTTTCCAATCTCTTCAATCTCTTCAATCCGTAGAACAATCACCTACACACTTCTGCGCACCAAGACACACACAGATTGCAGCTCGCAAACGCGTGCGAACATGTTAGGAGTCATGTTTGCGCCTCCCTCGGTTGGAAGAGTAGGAAGCAAGCAAAAAAAAGTGGAGGTTGACATCCCTACGCCCTTGTCCGGAAATAAACTCATAACCCGAGCTTGTTACGTTAAACCGCTCGATAGGCCCTGCCTCTTCCGGTTAATGCAGAGACGGAACTATGCCGCTCGGCTAGTTGGCATGATGATGATAATAGTGATGCAGATGCGCATGCGGATGTCGCCTGTCAGCACCGTGAGTCGAAATGAATCATCCATGCTCATAATGACTCTTAGTTTTGCTGCACTGAACTCCCACGGGTCCAAAATGAATAGAGTGCGCCTTTGACTCAGACTGCGGTCTGATCCTGGTTCGGGCTGGTCATTCTAGTGTACGGCATCATTGCGATAGCTTTGATGACCGTTACACATCGTATAGTCTAGCATTTTAATGTTATTTGATTTATTCGTATTTCTACAAAGGAGAGGAAAATATCTAAAACGCTATTCTAGCAATCTAAGCCAAGAGGTATCATCATTCGTCAACGCATTTCCTATATCCATCTATCGCGACTCGCACTGAGCCATGAACCGGTACATGCCTTCAACGCCCTGGTATTCCAACGGGGTATGCATGTCCATTTCATCAGCCTCGCTAGTATGCAAGCTATCGTATCCTGATGGCGACGAAGAAGATAACCACGGGTTTGGCTCAGTTTCAAAGTCGTCTAGCTGGTCATAGCTTTGTTCTGAATGAGTGGAGAAGTCTTCTGAAGCAGCGAGTGATGGCGAGAGCATGTGCGTCCAGTCGATGTTCGGTTGTACGTGTTGGCGATCCGCAACGGGCTTGTCGTAGAATGAACATTCGGAGGGTGTTTGGCTAGGTGCGAAGGGGAAGAGTAGCGCGATGTCGGTGCCGACGAAAGAGTCAAAGTCCGCGTCCTGATGAACTGCGCCTCTGGAGACCTCGAAGTCGTTGCATATCGTCTCCACTGTTTGCGCATCGCATCCGGGGAAGTGGACTTTGAGAACCGAGTTTTCGTACGAGATTGGAAGATCGCCTAGTGCCGCCAGTCGTTGCAGATCGTTCAAAACGGCTGCGAGCTCCTTGACAGCTCTTGAAAAGTCGACGGACAGGACATCGAGGAGACCCTCGCTGTTCAGTGTCTCCTTCTCCTGTGCGAACGAGGTGAAGCCCTTGACGGCCTTGAGGGGAGTAAGAGCGGTGACGGTGGGGTTAACGTTGAAGCTGATGTAGGATCCAGGGGTGGCCTTGGGAACCTTGTTCAGCGTACGGTTGACCTGGTCTTGTAGCGCGGACACCGTCTTGAAGCGCTTCTCGCCGTTGTGAGGGTTGACGCCATCGAACTGAGCCTTCTGTCCACCGACGAGGAACGCTCGCACAGCCTGAGAGACGTTGTTGATGACTTGGGCGGGTGATGCGGGTCCATGCGAAAAGTAACGCGCGCCTCCGGCCCTGCCAGAGCCCCAGCCGTAGCCTCCAGCCGTTCGTCCAAGTGCGCCACCAGTAAGGTTCGGGCGGAGGGTCGACGCGAAGGGTGCGCGGCCAGCCTGGGCGTTGACGATGCTTCCAATGCGTGACTTGGGGAAGGAGGCCTTGTCATACTTCACGCCCGAGTTGCGAGCCGCAGAGGTGGTGAAGCGACGGACGGCGGCGCTGATCTGGCTGTGGGTGGTGTACCATCGGCCCTTGCTCTGCTTGAGGTAGGCAATGCGGTGAAGAGGGTGCTTTGGAGCATTTCGAGCGAGGATGGGTTGTAGTACTGCATCGGCAGGTCGTGCGGATTCTGGTAGTTGTTTCTGTACGAGTTTCGCAGCATGTTTCCAGGCAGCCCTTCGTTTGTCAGTACGCGATCTCCTCAAGTAGTATTGTGAACTTACTTGAACGCTCTCGCGTTCTTAGCCACCGAATTATACAGATGCACCACGGCAGGTGCCATGATGGGTGTGTGTTCCAAGAGAGGAGAGTGGTGATGCGTCGAACTGTGGGGAAGGCGACGTTAATGAGGCGCAGGGTCAATGTCGCCACCGATCGGCACCATTGGTCTGGAACGCCGAGCAATGACGACGATCATATGCCACTTCACTCACCGCACCCTGGCTTTCGTTTCAAATGAAGTGAAGCCTGATCTTCTCGGCCTGTAAACTACCGCTGCAAGTTCCAAAAATCGTCTGCTTGATGGCGCAGTGACCTAGTGAAGTTGTGCTGCTGTTGCTTGGCGGAGTGTGCCGCATGCGAATCTCTCGTGAGGGATGGAATGGTAGCGACTGAAGTAAAGCACCGGAATCGGAGCAGCAGCCATGCGACTCGACACCAGTAACCACTTCACGATACATGAGCGTATCATCCTGCGACACCTGGAATACCGAGGTAAGAATTCACCACACGGGTCTAAGCTCAATACCAGGAACAGAAGGTATTCATTTTCGTACTTTTACAAAGCAAAAGCCACATCCGCAGACCTGACATCCGCTTATATACTTTGCTTCATGGAAAACAAGACTCCCAAGCAACCACATCCACCTATAAGTAAAGGAAGAACATGATTACCATATATGCCTGAGGGGAGAGAAAGCTGCCATCGAGTTTTGTATGCTGAGTCGGATGAACATGCAAAAGGTAGACACACACACAAAAACGCCAGCTTTCAATGCTACGAGGCCCCTAGATCCATGAAAAAGAGGTGGAAAAGCCAGATATTCCTGAGAAGGGTATTTCGTATTGTGGGATTGGTAATTCGTGTGAACATTAAAGGAAAAGGTTTCCGAGACGCGAGGGCATTCTATCGAAGGAGGAAAAACAGTTGGTCGACCGCCGACCGGGTAGAAAACGCCAGAACATGAACTTTTTGTCAATGTATACACAGTCCGAAAACTCGCAAGGGGAAGATAAGAAGCAACAAGACCGAAGACCGGGACGAAGACATGCATAAACCTTGGCTCATACGACAGAGTTGAGACAGCACCCTAAAAGCATCATGGCGGTGTCAACAGAGCCAAGGTATCTGCATCAAGCAAATCCTCAATACGCTGTCGGCTTCGAGGGTCCATGCTGCCGCTGCGATAAACTGCTTTCAGCTGATCGAAAGCTGGACGTCGCTCGTCTTCGGTCCTGATAAGTTCAACAAAGTCCGAAGCTACCCGCTGTCGAATCACGCTGTGTGGCGAAAGCAAAGACTCGCCGTAAAATTTGGTAAGATTGGAAATGCCAGTATCCGTCCTCCGGTGGGCGGCGTCTTCGAAAGCCAAATGGCGGAACTCGTCATACATTGATTGGTTGAAATTCCGAATCAAGAAATGCGACCAGAATTGGTAAAGAACGTTCATGTCGTAAGGGGTTGTGCCGAGGGGTGCGTTGGAACGCTGATGAAGAGCTTTGGATCGAAGGTGAAAATACGATTCATGCGATGAATCAGAAGGGATGGTGTGAACTGGGCTGTGGTGATCTTTGACCCAATAGAGGCGAACAGGGGCGATGGGAGAAGTCGATCGGAACGGGTCGGTGTCGAGTTGTGGGTGATAATGATGGCACTCAGGGCTACTATCGACGTGATCAGCGCGTACACTCATCTCTTCTGAAACGGCAACTTACCCATCAGACATTCCGGCACCGTGGACCCTCAATTGGCAGGTGATGGACTTCTCCGGCTCATCTGGCACGCCATGTTTACTATCGATGGAGCCATTAGAAAACGTTCGGGAAACGGAAGGAGGCAACGACATTTGCGACGGGGGTTGCTTGCGCATGACGACTGTCAAGCTGTCGAGTTGCAAGTCGGAAAAAGAATCAGGAATATCTCCACTCACAGCCTTTGTCGAGCTCTCGATTGGGTGACCATTCGAGACGGCCGCGTTCACTTCTTCGGCAGCCACGCCATTCGTCTCCGCCGGCACTGAACCGGCATCCTGGGCAACGGGATGGAAACCGTTCATTTGGGGATACGCGCCCTCGTTACCGAACGGGCTGAATGCTGGGGACATGGCCGACCACTGAGGAGGGTTGGATGGATCGAAGCCTGCAGGGCGAGAGACTTGAGGCTGGTTCAGCTCTTTTGGTCCCTCGTTCTGTGCAGACGGATCACGCTCGGCCATGTCAAGAACCCACTGCTGCCAGCCTTCCTTGCGACGTAGTCGGTCCTGGCCATTCTCGCTGGTGCGGTACTCGATTGTGGCAGACTGTTGGCAGACGAGCCTAATCATGTCGATATCAGGAGACAGGCTCTTGATGCGGTTGAAACCGGCGATGAATTCAAGAGCAACGAATCCCTGAGAGTCCATGTGGCGACGTAGGTACAAGTCCTTGATCAAATTATCAACAGAGAAGTAGTACTCCCTAATAATCTGTTAGCATGTTTCTGGTGACGGGCGGTTAAAAAGCATACACTTGGGTCGTGATCATAGCGAAGACCGAGTACTGATCGACGCCGTATGGGCTGTACGGTAATCCAGCGCTCATGGGCGCAGGCATTCCATAAGGATACATCTCATGCGACGTTTGGATAGGAGCTGGGTACCCGGGTTGGAACGGTGGATACCTGTATGGATCGGTGGTCAATGACTGTGAACGGTGGTTGTTGCGACCGAATTTGCCGTGAGGCGCGGGGAAGAAGCTGTTGCTCTCAGGTACAAAGGTCGTGGGCGATCGTGGGCCCAAGGGAAAGCTCGACGTGGAGTGCCCGTTAGTGAAGTGGTGTCCATTGGTGTAGTTTCCACGACCGCCACGGCCTCCACGGCCACGTTCGCGGCCGTTAGAGAAGGAGCTAAAGCGCTTGGAATGGCCATGCGAGGAGCCGTCCTGGAAGGTATGCGCTCTACGCTCACCATCTCCAGCGGCGTCTGTCTGCGTTCCAGCAGAATTTTGACGCTCACCCCAGGTGTTATCCTTGGTAGGTGAAGATGCGCCATCTCTCCTTCGCTCTCCGGCACCGTGGAATTCGCCTCGGCGGCCCTTGTGAGGCTTGGTGGGGTACTGACGTTGGTAAGCGCCGTTTTGAGCAGGCACGTTGGACAGTGACGATCGCCTGGGCTGCGCTTCAGACTCGGAGGGTACGTGACCAGCGGCTTTACCGGCGGCGTCGCCGTTGACTACAGGAGCCTGACCGTTAAGTGTAGGGGCATCTGCGCTACCGTTACGCTTGGCCTTGGGAGACGCATCCTGGGTAGCTGTCTCAGCGCGCTCGCGCCTCGTCTGTTCGCCGTTCGGTACGAATCCATCCTTCTCGGTCTGTTCAGCACCGTTGCCGAAGCTAGTAGGCCTGCCGCCGTTCACTGCTCCACCGCGTCCTCCAGGACGGCCACCTCTCCTGGCGCCTGCCGCGTTTGGCAGAGGCGTGTTGAACACAACTGTTGGTGTGTAGGGGATTTTCACCCACTCGTGCTTGCTAGTCGAAGCGCCATCCTTGCGCTCCTTCTGCTCCTTCTCGCCCTTCTCTTGGGCCTTCTTGCGATCCTCGTCGATGACGGTCTCGGGAGTCGGCCATGACTCCTGGTCGCGGTTCGGTGGAGGAGGCAGCGCGCTCGAAGCCGGAGCTGCCTTGGCATCCTTCTCGGGGAACCTGCCCTTAGCACCGTTCCTCACATCGAGATCACCCTTGAACTCTTTTCGTCCCTTGTTTCTGCTCTCGCCGTTTGTAATCTTCTCTTGAGATTTTGAGTCGCCGTTCTTGGCCTGAACTCCGTTTGTCCCATGGGACACTCCATTGGGAGTTGTTTGAGGCGCAACCTTCTGCACCTGAGACTTGATCGTGTCCGCTCGTATCTTCCAAGGGTTCACAGTAGGTACAGGCGCCTCTTGGAGAGGCTTAGCAGGCACGTTCTTAGCCTTCTTGACCTTGTCAGAGGTCTTCTCGACTGGCTCAACCGACTTATCAACCGAGGTGGAAGCCTGAGACTTGTTATCCCAGGTAGTCGACTCAGAGGAGGTGTTCGGTATCGAGGAAACATCGTCGTCCTTGGTGACTGTCGACGAAGTGGAGGCTCCCATATCCGGCGAGGATATGTTGGAGGCATCTACGGGTTGTGAAACCTTGACCACATTGGGTGCGGCTTGCTCTGTGCGCGCCTCGCGGGTTTTCGCAGGCTGCTCGGGGCGCGACTCAGACTCGACGTCTTCGGCCCAGTTGCTGGGTGACGCGCTAGTCTCTGGGACAGATGCGCCGTTGCCGTCCTTGGCTGGTGTAGCGGAGCCGGATGCCGACTTGCTCGTGGTGGCAGGCGTGACGACGCCCTTCGCGGCTTGCGCATATGAAAATGTGGAGGCCATTTTGGAATTTATGTGGATCTCGACTAAAGTCCGGCTGGTAAGACGAGAGTAAGCGCTTAGGGTCCCCGATGGGAGCGCTGCGGCAAGCTGGCCAACAGGTGCTGACGCTGGTATGTCCGGAGAGGTTGCTCTTGACCTCCCCGCACGCAAATCTCTTTGCTGCTACCAAGCCTTGCGTCGACGACTAAGCGGTGCGGCGACGGTATAGCTCTGCACTGGTGGAGAGCTGAGCAGTGTGCTGGACGAGGGCTTTGTACCAAGGTGGTCTCGCACAACGTGAGGAAAGTAAATGCTTCCTACTTCACTGTTTGGCGACTGTGACGGTAATTGCGCGTACTGCAGTGACGGGGGTTAGCGAAGAACAGAGGTGCTACAAGCGCAGTGTGGGCAGCATATAAGGCGTGGTGGTGGAAACAAGTGACGTGGGCAGTTGTGGTGGAGGACTGGGAGCGAGCGCACGACAAGTCGAAATGACTGCGTGGGCCGCCGAGGACTAAGCGGGAAGGAGCGCGAGTGAAAGACAGAGCGCAGCTGGGAGAGTGAAAGGCGGAGAAGGGGAGGAGGGTTGCGCAGCGTGCCGAGCAAACTCGAGGCGGGGAGCAAGGCAGTGGGCAAGCGTGCGGCGGGCGTGGGCGGTGCTGTGGGCGGAACTAACCTCTGGAGCGAGTCTGCGTGGGCGGCGGGGTAGGCAGTCGCGCAGAGAGGGCAGCTGTGACTGCGTCGGCGGAGTGCTCGGGGTGGGCGGTGGGTTGCGGGCGGATAATGAGGGTTGGAGGGTGCAGTGAGGTACGGGCTCCAGGCACACGAGGGTTGCGGTACAGGCTCGTCTGGCGTGCGTGCAACAGCGACGGAGCGGGCTGAGGCGGCGTCTGAGGGTCGGATGCGACGTGATCAAGGCAGACGGGGCGCCAGGCAAGAAAATTGGCTGTCGTGTGTGCGGGAGAAGCAAGCGTAGGTGGGAGAAAGAGGGTCACTCTCAAGCGCGAATTTTTCTTCGTTAAGGTGGTGCTCTAAGAGAACCCGACAGCCCACGCTACTTCGGCGCATTCACCATTCCCTCGCCCAGCGCCCGAGAGCCGCCGTGTAGCTGCTAGCAGCTGACAGGTCACTTGCCTGTTCTATGGCTGCATCTGCGTTGACAACCCTCGCATTCATCGTGGTTCTGCATTCACTTTCCAGCAGCGCAGTTGACGCGCTTCTACACGCCAATGACGTCTCGCGAGTATCTTCGACCCCTCACTTGCCAAAAGCTGTTTTATACATGGCTGCCTGCGCTCCAACAAACAGCAAATCTCGCCGTCTGCTCATGTCAGCGCGCCTGCTTGCACCCAATTGGCCTTGGATCTTGGGACATCGGGCGCCTCGGTGAGGGCCGTGTTGTGCCGGCACTTTCACGTTCCTATGCCAATGGTCGGCAGCACGAGCGAGCCATCTATCGATCCCTGTGCCTACGGGAAAACGGAATACCGGCCATTGACCTTCCCGATTTCTGCCGCGAGCTCCTAGCAGTCCGTATTGTCTGTCTGCGATATACAAGCCTTCATAGTTATGCCTGGCCAGCTAGTCCTCAACTGTCCACCTTCTCCGCTCTACCAAGAGCACCACTATGTCTTCACCCATCCTAGCCGCTGTACCCGATGCATTGGAACTGATAAGCTGCGGATGCTAATCCTGTTCTAAATGGTTTAACACTATGAAGCAGGACCAAGGCGCGTGTTGCTGCACGTCAACGTCGACATGGTGTTCATGCCATGGGGTTTCGACGTTCCGCCACACCTCGAGGCCGAATGCGCCTCGGCATCCAAGTATGCGTAAATTGAGAGTCATTCTCAAACACAGTCCAGCAACACCCAGGTTACAATGATGTCAAAAGGATGCCTAATTTGCGTATCTCAGGTATCATCCATGGTCGATAGATGTTGCGTCATGATTGCTGCCCTGTTCTAATTTCATACGCATTCAGGCCTGAGGCTTAGAAGTTTCGGGCCTTAGATCGATGATTCCTTTTGAC